ATGGTTACTTGTAGTGACAACCAAACAGCATTAGACTTATATCTTCTTCTTTTTTGTAATTCTTTTTCAGGTCATCCATGGATCTGTGAGAATGGTGTTGCACCAGATAGAGCACTTGATCCTGCTGTTCTGTCTCGTCTCAAGCAGTTCTCTGCAATGAATAAACTAAAGAAGATGGCTTTGAAGGTGAGTGATTTTGTGCCTAAACCCTTTATCTTCCATGTTCTCTGCTTCAGTTTTCATAGAATTGTTTGTGTTGTCTTTGTTTTGGGGTCATCAGGTTATAGCTGAGAGCCTCTCGGAAGAAGAGATTGCTGGCTTAAGAGAAATGTTTCAGGCAATGGATACTGATAACAGCGGTGCAATCACATTTGATGAACTCAAAGCTGGGCTGAGAAAGTATGGGTCTACCTTGAAAGACACAGAGATCCATGATCTAATGGAAGCGGTAAAAGTCTAACATTATTTGGCTAAATACACAGACAATGAGGTATTGTATTGTATTCTTACCCTCAGCTCTTGTATTGACAGGCTGATGTGGACAACAGCGGGACAATAGATTACAGTGAGTTCATTGCAGCGACGATTCATCTCAACAAACTCGAGCGGGAAGAGCATCTTGTCGCTGCGTTTCAATACTTTGACAAAGACGGAAGCGGTTTCATAACAATCGATGAGCTACAACAAGCGTGTGTTGAACATGGCATGGCTGATGTTTTCCTTGAAGATATCATCAAAGAAGTTGATCAAAACAATGTAAGCTTATATGACGACTCTGTTCCACATTCCTTTCTAGACTAATGACGAGGCATCAGCTGATAAAAGTGTCTCGGTTTTTATGTTGGTCTGAACAGGATGGAAAGATTGATTATGGTGAGTTTGTGGAGATGATGCAAAAGGGAAATGCTGGTGTTGGAAGAAGGACGATGAGAAATAGTTTAAACATTAGCATGAGAGACGCGTAGAGGTTGTTTTCCCCGGTGTTTAATCTGCTTGTGCGATTGTGACTGCAAAAATGTTCTTTATTCATGGAATCCACCACATAGAAGGAGAAGAAAGAAGACCAAACCAGATTCATAGCTGTGGATGGTTCGAGCTAATGTTTAACGACTGTGTGATTAATCGTCAAGTAGCTTTGGAGGTTTTTTCTTTTACCTCTTTATTGTTTGTTTGTTATGGCCATTGTTGAAGTTAGTGAGCTTTGTTCATTATCTGCCATTGTTAAAACTTTGTTCACTCTTGTATTTGAAAATTGTATTTGAAAAACAAAGTGTGTCTTTGTATGCTATGTCTAAGCATTTTTATTTTGAAAAATCTCTTTCTTCTTTCTAGACGATCACGACCCTTCATCCATCTCAGACTACACAACTCGGTTTTGAATATATTTATATGAAAATACCAAATGGCCTATGATGTGGAAGATGATGAGCTAGCAAGTCTCAATCATGGAAATCAAAGTGCTTTTTCTAAGTAATCTGTATTTAAACTCAAATAAAACCAAAACTCAAAGCTGTTCCAAGCAAATTATTCATTGGCCACAATCTGTAATTTGGAACATTACCAAAACGATTTTTAATGTATTTTACATGTACAGATTTTCTGGTACCCTCATATTCACATGCTTTGCAACGCCGCAACCTTTAACTATATATATTTATTTTGGTGCATTTTTTTCATATTTTATTAGTGTTAAAATAACCTCTTCTTAAGAGTAAGTTGAGTAACGTATGGCAATTTCGTCAGCTTTGTTATTTAAAAATCATATGTTAATTAGCTAAAATCCGATGATTTTTACCCAAATTCTCTCTTAATTTAAAACTAGTCCGACTTGAAATTAAAGTTTAGTGTAAACTATAATCAGAAGTCAGAACAATAAATATTAATAGGCCACCGACGATTTGCTGCCACCGACAAATGTTTTGTCGGCCACACGCGTCTCAGTTCTATGGAACCGAACTCTCGTAATACTTTGTTTTTTTTTTTTTTTGGTAATCGTTAATACTTTGTTTTTTACATACCATTTTTGTTGAAACCCCCACAAAATAGGAAAATATTCGGTAAAATGTTTTAGATTTTTAGTTGTTTTTTTTTTGTTAAGTAGATTTTTAGTTTTACTTGTATCATTATGAAATTCTTGAACCTACTTAACATTAAGAGTCCTTGAATATGTTCTCAGTGTTATTATCATTATGATTGATCACTGTGTACGTGAAACTATACAACAACGAAATTCAGAATCATAACTAGACAGAAGAATATCATGTTGGCGCGTAAAAGATTAAAACGAAAATAACGGATTTTCTATATAATTTGCATGGTTATTAAAATACAAAAATACAACTGCACAGCCACAAACTCGTAACCACAAATAAAATAAATAAATTGATTAATAATCTAGGAAAATTAATTATAGCAAAATACAACATCAAGAAGAAGAAAAAAAACACATTATACATTATACTCCATTGCACGAAAGTAAAAAAAAGAAGAGACAAATCACAAAATCTCAACCCCATGTGAAGCAATAAGCAAGAATCATTTTATCGTTGACGCTTGTATTTGCAAGAAAGAGGAAGAGAATCTGACGAAGCAGGTCCCATGAGATTACGGATCTGAGATCGGAGTTTGAAGAAAACGTGCATTATACTTCCTCTGTTTTGTGAACCAATTGATTTAGCTTCGTCTTTGTTAAGCTCAAGATCTCTGATGAATATCGGTTTTCTTGAAAGGATCCATGACCAACCCCATTCCCACCATTCTTTCACAGAGCTTCCTGCTTGTTCTCCCATGGCGGAAACAGATTTGGATCTCGGGAATCGAGCTGCGATCGCCGCTGGTTGGTTTGAGAGGTTGAGTGAGAGAGAAGAGAGACGACGTCGGATGAGACCAGGCTCATCGTCGGCGGTGGCTGCTGCATTAGGACGTTGAGAAACGGGGAGAGAAGTGGGTTTACGAATCTGGAGGGTCTCCATCATTGAGCTCATTGCTTTTGTTGTTTGTTCTTCTTCGTGTGGAGAGAGGTTGAAGAAGATGAAGATGAATGTGAGAGATTGATTAGTGAACACAGCTCTAACACAGGCTGGGTTTTTATTCCACTTTATTTTGTGGAGTCCATTTACTTTTATGCCCCCAGCCAATTACATGCAATTTTTTTGTTTGTTTTTGAATTTAATATATATTATGAGTAGTATTTTTGTTTTTGTTTATTTGCTGATTTGTAATACTAGTTTGTTGTTTTGTACTCATATATATGAATGCACCTATAAAATTGGAAATATACAACATTTTTTTTTTGTGAATATAGATATCAATTGTTTTCAGGTAGGGTTTCCATCACAACACAAATTTATTAATTAATTTTTTTTCTTTGTAATTTTATTTTAAATGTTATTTTCTCAGTACAGAAATTTGTTGAAATTGTATATGCTTCTATTTGTGATTTTTTTATTTTTATTAGAAAAATGTAGCAGAATCTGACCATAGCCAAACAATTTTCATGTTGTAAAAAAAAACAAAAAAAAACAAATCACATACAAAAATCCCAAAAAAAACAAATTGTCAAAAGATAAGCCAAGACGCGCCCATTAAGGTATTGGATTAAGGCCCAACAAATTTTAAAGCCGAAAATCGAAAATTAAGCACTTTATTCTTTTTACATTTAATTTTCCAAAAATTTCCTTTTTTTTTTTTTTAATAGCTAGAGCATGTTCGGAGTAGAGATCAGAGAGATCTGAGAGCTTGAAACAATGGAGTACCGGAAAATCAAAGACGAGGTTCGTTGCTTCTAATCACTTTGTCTTTCTTCTGCTTTCAATTTAGGATTTTGGACTCTCTTTAATGCTCAATTTTGTTCCGAGCTTCTTCAGGACGATCATGACGTCGGTGCTGATATCGAGAGTGTGAAAGGAAAATCTCATACCGGTGAGATATTCTTTTCTCAAATTTCCGCTTCTGTTTTGTTCGTTTAGTGTGCTCATTGGTGCTTCGATTTTGGCAGTTGCTTCGAGTAACATTGCGATGGCTACTCTGGGTGTTGGATCCAGTGAACGGATCAACTGGAAACGAAAGTAAGTTTTTTTATTCCTTTGTTCAATTTTTGTTTTGGAAAAGTCTAGTTCTTTGAATATCTTGTGTTGAATTAGGGGTGTAGTGACATGTGCACTAACGATTCTGACGAGTTCTCAAGCGATACTCATCGTGTGGTCGAAGCGAGCTGGGAAGTATGAGTATAGTGTTACAACCGCCAACTTCTTGGTGAGTTTCATCGATGCATTACTTTTTTCTTGAAATTGAGTGTAATGTATGTGTTGCAAGCAAGCCAATTTTGTGTGGTTTATAATCTTCTATCAGGATGATGTAGTGATTTTGTTTACTCTTTGGTGCACATCAGGTTGAGACTCTGAAATGTGCTTTATCTCTTCTTGCATTGACAAGGATATGGAAAAACGAAGGTGTTACTGACGACAACAGGTATCATATTCTTTTGACAAGGGTCTGTCTGTGGGTTTGGTTTCAGAGAATTTTCCATGAGTTTTATGTCTAATTCCTCTTTGAGCATGACCATAGATTTATCATTGAGTTTTTTCTTTACTGATACCCAAAAGCTGTCTCCGAATCAGGTTAAGCACAACATATGATGAAGTTAAAGTCTTTCCAATTCCTGCAGCATTGTATCTTTTCAAGAATTTGTTACAGGTGGGATTTCTTGAGTTTTTTTCTCTGTGGCTTTGGTCGATTTTTCTTAACTTATGTTTTTCATGCTAATATGTCTCTAACTACTTGTTGTGACAACTTTTGTGTGGCAGTACTATATTTTTGCTTACGTAGACGCCCCAGGCTATCAGATATTGAAGAACTTGAACATCATAAGTACCGGTGTCTTGTACAGAATTATACTGAAGAAAAAGTAGGTTGTTTATTCATCCAAATTGGATTTCATAGCTTCCAATGAATAGTTGTTCTGGAAATCCATATGTTATCTGTTTTATATTCCCATCAATTTTTCAACTGCCTCGGTTTAATCATTTTGCTTACTATCTTCTCTAACAGATTGAGCGAGATTCAGTGGGCGGGTTTCATTCTGTTGTGTTGCGGATGCACCACTGCTCAGTTGAATTCAAAGTAAATGTGGCGCCTGATTTTCTTACCCCTTGATATTCTTATGAATGCTATCAAAATGAGCTTCACCAGTTCTTGCATATGATGCATAACACACAAAAGCTCATTTCCGATTCCTGCTATGTGAACACTTTCAGGTCTCTGCTGATTTTTCCAATATATGTCTCATATTTGATTTGCTTTTGCAGTTCTGATCGTGTTCTTCAGACATCTCTTCCTGGTTGGACTATGGCAATCGTAAGCTGATAGCCCCCTTTGCATGCTAATATCAACTAAGAGTTGTGAAGCAGCTTTCATGTCCACACCAATTAATATAATCACTCGTTGTTGTTTCTAGGTCATGGCTCTTTTAAGTGGTTTCGCCGGAGTGTACACAGAGGTGAGATATTAGGACTGTATACTGTAATACTCAAAGCTGATTTGGTTTCTTTTCTCTGTGTGTGTGTCAACACTAATACAGTATAATTGGGTCTTTCCATTGATAAACTTAAATTATGATTTATAAAGCTTATAAAGGTTTTGCTTTCCATTTTCGCAGGCCATTATAAAAAAGCGACCTTCAAGGAATATAAATGTACAGAACTTCTGGCTATATGTCTTCGGGATGGCTTTCAATGCTGTTGCTATAGTGATCCAAGATTTTGATGCCGTTGCAAATAAGTAAATCCAAAAACCATCTTCTTTCATACTTGCTATAAAATGCCAGAACTTACTAGTACCACACCTCTATAGCCTTGGTGTCCTGTAGTTCCATTATATTCTACTGGCTGCGTATTATGCTGTTATGTCTCATCTGCTCTGGTATTGAATGGGCTGGCTTTTCATTTTCAGGGGATTCTTCCATGGTTACTCCTTCATCACAGTACTCATGATTCTTAACCATGCTCTCAGGTAAAAGCTGCTTTAGAGGCCAGACTTTTCTCTTAACTCTGATGTAAGTTAGTGAAGCTAACACAAAAACACTCTTCTATTGTTTGTTTTGCAGTGGCATTGCTGTGTCGATGGTGATGAAATATGCAGACAATATTGTGAAGGTATTATATTTGCAAAAAATGCACATTTATTCCCCTGCCACTTTTTTACACGGGGTTAACTTTATCAATCGGTATGTAGGTTTATTCAACATCAGTGGCGATGCTTCTCACCGCGGTTGTCTCTGTATTCCTCTTCAATTATCATCTTTCCCTAGCCTTCTTCTTGGGTTCAACGTAAGTTAACCACATTTGCTTTTGCTAATACAATCATCTCAACTTTTGATATCAAAAGTAGCCACCAACATTCATGCACATAAGAGCCAATGATTGCGTAAAAGGTTTCTCATAAAATGCATCACTGTGTTTGCACTTTGCAGGGTCGTCTCTGTTTCAGTATATTTGCATTCCGCAGGGAAGCTACGATAGTAAAGATCTTCACACTTACATCTACCAAGAAAACTGCCATTATTCTAGTACAGAGATAAAGCTTTTGAACGATTACGATTTTGTTTTTCGTGTAGGTATATCACATTTGTGCTTCTGTATTGATTTTTATCCCGTTCATGATATACTATTCTCATTTGTACGGAACCAAAAACTATTAAGAGCAATAGTATAAATTCCCGAAATTTTAAGCCTAACTTTGTTTATAAATCCTCCCTCCATATATTTTAATAATCATTAACTGTTTGAAAGTGAAGTTATTTTGTTGAAAATTGCACGCTTAGAGGAAAAGGCTTAACCAAAAATGATCCAACCGTGAAGACTCAGAGACCAGCGTACTTGGTTTTTAAATTAATCATTGTCTTTGCTTCAAAGCCAATACTATGAGCCTTTGTCTTGTCTCCCACTTGTATATAAGCTCTATTCCTCTACTCTCTTTCTCACCATCTCTTCTTCTTCTTCCTCTTCTCTCAGTGAACAGATTTAGCTATGGCTTTTTCTGCACCATCACTTACTAAATTCTCTCTTTTGGTCGCCATTTCAGCATCAGCTCTCCTCTGTTCTGCTCTTGCCCGTGATTTCTCCATTGTTGGATACACACCGGAGCAGTTGACCTCCACTGAAAAGCTTCTAGAGCTCTTTGAGTCATGGATGTCAGAACACAGCAAGGTTTACAAAAGTGTGGAGGAGAAGGTGCACAGGTTCGAGGTGTTCAGAGAGAACCTGATGCATATAGACCAGAGAAACAATGAGATCAACAGTTACTGGCTCGGTTTGAACGAGTTTGCGGATTTGACTCATGAAGAGTTCAAGGGAAGATATCTAGGACTTGCAAAGCCACAATTCTCTAGAAAGAGACAGCCCTCTGCTAACTTCAGGTACAGAGACATCACTGACTTGCCTAAATCCGTAGACTGGAGGAAGAAAGGCGCTGTGGCTCCTGTCAAGGACCAGGGTCAATGTGGTAACATTTCTTTCTTTCCATCTTTCTTGGTCCAAGTGTATAGAATAGAACCAGAGATTCATATAGCTAACGATCTTATTTTGTTGCTGCAGGTAGCTGTTGGGCATTTTCAACAGTTGCAGCTGTCGAGGGGATCAACCAGATCACAACAGGGAATCTGAGTTCGCTTTCAGAGCAAGAACTCATAGACTGTGACACAACTTTCAACAGTGGCTGCAATGGAGGTCTCATGGACTACGCATTCCAGTACATAATTTCAACAGGTGGTCTCCACAAAGAAGACGATTACCCTTATCTCATGGAAGAAGGAATTTGTCAAGAGCAGAAGGTAACAAACACTAGACAAACACATGAACTAAAACTTACACTCTGATACAGAATATTTATAAACACTGATCATTCATGAATCTTACACAGGAGGATGTGGAACGTGTGACGATCAGCGGCTACGAAGATGTCCCAGAAAACGATGACGAAAGCCTTGTAAAGGCTTTAGCTCATCAGCCAGTCAGTGTGGCTATTGAGGCTTCAGGAAGAGACTTCCAGTTCTACAAAGGAGTATATAATTCTGACATCTAAACTGTGTTTTATGTATCCGATCTTCTGGCATTCTCTCAAAAACCGATTTGGGGATTTTGCTTTGTTTACAGGGAGTGTTTAATGGACAATGTGGAACAGACCTGGACCACGGTGTAGCAGCAGTTGGATATGGTTCATCAAAGGGATCTGACTATGTTATTGTCAAGAACTCATGGGGACCAAGATGGGGAGAGAAAGGGTTTATTAGGATGAAGAGAAACACCGGTAAACCAGAGGGACTCTGTGGAATCAACAAGATGGCCTCATATCCTACCAAGACCAAGTGATGATCTACCTTGTTGCTGCATCCTACCTTTTTTTTTTTTTTTCTTTCAATGCATTTCGATTGCACATTATATCGTATTGATGAATGTGAGATTTTCAAATAACATGGTGAGAGTTCACTTACCTTTTTTTCTGACTGCACGTCCTCCCAATGCTCCTCCAGCTTCAAGAAACCTAAAAACCATGACCTTTAGACCTACCTCTCTCAATAAGATCATGTTCTCATATATAGAACTTTCAAATACCATATAAGGACCAATCAGAAAGATTGGTGCTTTTTGTGTGTTTAATAAAGAATGTCGAAAGATTTTTCAATTCTTACATCTGAATGCAGAGATAGAGATTGGATCTCTAACTTACAAAGCCTAACAGTTTTTCATATAATAAACTGAATGGCTGGTTCAGTAAAAATGTGTTTGTGAACTATAATTAACTCTGAACTTCATTGTATTTGATGACACAGTCATAAAGCCGTCCTCCGAGAAATTGTGCTACTTCTGGATGCTTCACCTGCATAAAAAAAGACCAGACTTGAGTAATAAGGAAGAATCAAGAAACATGTAACTCTTTTTCTATGTAACACCATGACACTATAAGTTTATTACCATTCCAATCTTGAGGGAATCACACTTGAACTGAGCATAAAGGTTTGTCTCTATTCCACGGCCCTGTACAGGACAGTAAAGGAGTAAGTTTGGTGATACCTAAGACTAGATAACACATAGTTCACCACCTTCACACGATTTAAAGGTCTTACCATGCCTTCTAAGATGACCAAGTCTGCATCGGTTGAGAGGTACGCAACCTCCTGTGATACTCTTGCAAGATCAATAACCTGCAACAGTATAGAAAGGAGAAGAAATTTTTTAACAATTACCAATGGATAAACAGGAATTGCTCATACTGAAAGTCCAATCATCTTCTGCGAGCTTTTGAATACCATACCGGTAAGTCATTCCCTGAATTTGCAATAAGAAGATTCGAGGTATCAACACCCATCAATTGTCCATTTTCATCCTTCAGCTGGTATATTAAAGACTCAGTCAGGGTCGAGTTTCTTTAATCTGTAATGGACTAGAGTACCCAAATGACTCTATTCATCACCTTAGACAATATCTCTGCAAGCTCGATATAAGTTACATCGTTGATAGATGGAAGCTCATTAGCAGCCAGCACAACCTTTAAAAGGGAAGGTGAAAAGGAGGAAAGACTTAGAATATACTTCTCACAATCAAAAATGTCCATAATTGTGCAAAAAAAAAAAGTCAGCATGATTTTAGGACATGGAAGCACCTGCATTCCTCGACGTAGCATTTCTCTAGCAAAGGGCAAGATACCCAAAATTATGTCTGCACCAGAATTATCGACAAATATCACAGCCTGTCATGAAAAAAGAGAGGAATAAAACAAATCAGTGTGTCCTGCGATAAAACTTTTAAGTCAGGATAAAGCATAGGTTAAGCAGACAAAAACAGAGAGAAGTTAAAGAAGTGACCTTCTTCCAAGGCTTCTTGACCCATCTAGCTTGAAAGTTATCCAAGTCATCAATGACCCATGGTCGTGAAACCAAGTTCTGACAGCTAGCCAAAAAGGACATGCCGTCTTTTGAGAAAACCTCAGCAAGCTTCAATATGTGATTAAAGAAACACAAGATCCACTCATTAAGATACTTAACAAAACAGAGAACAGTAGATGAAAAGAAAGAGATGATATACCTGTGCAGAACCCAGATCAAAGATGTTTCCAGCAAATATCCCTCTGACCAGATTCTCTATGCGCTTGCCTTCATCGTCAATAGCATCACTCAAACGAACAACTTCAGGAAATAGTGATATAGCCTTTGCATTCTCCTCATCCTAAATGAACTCACCCAATCAGAAAAGAGTACAAGAGAACTTATGCTTTTCGAGAAAACCCTTGTCAAGGAAATCACACCTTAACTTTCTTGAATATGTCCCTAAATCCCAATTCTCTTAGTATTAGCTCACGGATTCTGCAGAGAAGCTGCAGAAAAAAAAAACACCATACTAATATATGAATAACAAAGCTCTCTACAAGCATTTACTTTACAAGAGGAAAGTGTTTTAAACTTACAATGCAATCTGGTGGACCACCATGGCTCTCCGGATCTTTCTTCAAGTCCTCAAGAATCTCAGCATACCTTGCGAGAAATCAAACGCAAAATTGAATGCTTTTGAGCGAAAGAGTGCATCTTCGTAGCAACTATGAAAACACATGTGAGGCAAGGTATATAGAACACACACCTTTTGGCAAATTTTTCAGCTCGAACAGGAGCATCTGGAACTGTTGTGTCGCTCTCTGCACGTTCCCTGCAAAAAAAAAAAAACCAAACAAAACAAGTTTAGAAGACTGAAAGTTTGAATTTTTTTTAATTCGTTGGATCAGGAAGTTTCTTGTTTCCAATAAAGAATCAGAGTTTGTTCGTGATGTCACAAAGCCAAAGCTCATGAAAAGTCAGAAAGAGTATGAATCAGGGATTCAAGACAAGAATCAAAATTAAACAGATTGATCAATTGAAGGATGAAATCCAAAATCCGAGCAATTTCAAAGGTATATGAGCTTCCCAGATCACAAAAATCAAAAAATGCAAAACAAAAATCAAGAGAGTGAGAGAGAGAGAGATTCGAACTTGAAAGAAGGGATGGAATTGGAGAAGAGATCGATCCAGGAGATCTCAGTAGGAGTAGCCTTTCTAGGATTATCAGAAGGGAATCGATAAGGAATGGTGCAAGCCCTGTAGTTTGATTCTATCGGCGTCGGTAACAGAGGCAACGCAACCATCTCGGAGTCGCTCTCCATTCTTCGTTCGTACGTGTGAAGTGAGATATGAAATTCACTGGTAGAATAAAAAAGAAGTGATCGTTCTTTTAATACACAAATCTGGCAAGTTTAGAGGAAACCCTTATTTTAATTGCTTTCAAACGTTTGTCGTTTATCCTCCTTGTCTCTTTGCGCCGCGCGTTCTCGCTCTCCCAAGCAGAGGAGCAAGCTTCTTGCACGAGTCGTACGTTGTGTGGTTTTCGATTTCTGATCGTAAGCTCTCTTTCTTAAAGTTGAAACCTTTTTGGAACTTAAGTTTAGACTGGAACTCGATACTCTCTGTCATGTTTAGGTTACGGAATCGTAAGCTTTCTCGAGAGCTCTTTATTTAGGTGCCAAGTTTACAGACACTAAAAGTCATCTCTACTTTGCTGATTCATTCATAGTTGCTTCCTAACTTAGCTGCGTTTATGAAGTAAAGTTCTGTTGATTTTTGCAGAATGATTGCTGCATTTTCATGGATCCCAAAAGGGGCATCAAAGGCCATGCCTGATTCTGCTGAATCTCCTTCTATGGAGGATATCAAAGAGCTCATCCAAAATGGCACTTTCAAAAAAAGGTGATCTTTTTTCCCGTTCCTGTTTCTCTGCTCTTTTTTCCCTTCAAGGAGATAATCACACCATTGATTACACTTACTGTGGATACAGTCTGAGTGGCATGGATGAGGAAGAAGAGATGGACGATGAAACACAGAGTTGCCCATGCCAAGTCTGTAGCAAAATCTTTTGGGAAACCATGTTCCAAAAGCAAGGGTGCTTCTTCTTCTTCAACAGATGCTGATGACGTTGTCAAGTTCTTGAAAGAACTCGACATGGATAACTATGACGAAGAGGACGGTGCTACATATATCAGCTCTTTCTTTTCTTTTTCCTACGGATTTTCATTGCCGTATTTTGCATATATGCTAATGTACAGTTTCCTTCATGATCCTTGTGTTGGACTCAGAGATTGAACTGTTTAGCTCTGGCCAGGGAGACCTTTATTATCCAAGCAATGAGATGGATCCATACCTAAAGGATACTGACGTAAGTCATACCATTAATTTGTTTTTCTCTTAATTACTTGTGCAAACTCAATAGTAAATACTGATCTTGATATCCCCTAGGCTGACTATGACTCAGAGGATCTCGATGACATGATAATTAGGCCAACCGATTTACTGATCATCTGTGCTAGTATTAAACGTGAAGTCAACTCTCTCGAGGTTTATGTATACGAGGAATCCGGGAACATGTATCTTCGTCATGACATGATTATATCCAAGGCTCCATTGTGCACAGCATGGCTTGATTGTCCTCTCAAAGGAGGGGAAAAAGGTTAGTGTGTATCCACGCAGCTTCTTTCTTTTTTTTCCTTTTCTTGTGGATGAGATTTATCATGTTTCTCAAGTTTTGCTTACGTGTTGGCAGGGAACTTTGTAGCTATCGGGTCAATGGACTCCTCCAAAGAGATATGGGATCTTGACCTTGTATGTAACTGTAAACTGTCTTTTGATGATGCTTACCTTTTTTTTTTTTTATCGATCATGAGATAATGAATTGTATGTTGGTTATATAATGCTTTAGGTGAATGAGGTGCTACCTTGTGTACAACTGGGACGAATAGCCGGACAGGTGTGACAACCAACTTTTGAAAACTATTTAGCTCCTCTGTTTTTCCAAATGTAACCAGTTAACTTAGTTAGCTGTCTTTCTCTCACTCTAGACATCAGATTGCCACACTGATCCAGTAATTGATCTTGCTTGGAACAAGGAGTTTCGGTATATATTTCTAAGCTCTGTGGTTCCATGATTGAAAATTATCTCCAGGACTTGCGTAATTACCAGACTCTCATTGTTATCTTTTACTTTTAACTGGAAAAATAGGAATATAGTTGCTAGTGCCAGTGCCGACAAAAAAGTTAAGGTTTGGGATGTGGCTACGGGGAAATGCAAGGTCACTATGGAGCATCACGAAGAGAAGGTATGAAGGTGAAACTGTTTCCATGCTCTTTCAAGCATCTGTGGCATGCTCATGGTTTATTGTGTGTTGGTTGACTATAACAGGTTAAAGCGGTTGCATGGAACCATTATGCTCCAGAAGTACTCCTCAGTGGGTCTAGTGATGGCACTGTAGTAATGGTGATCACAACAGTTTTTGTTCCTTTTCATGTGTTGAGTTCTTGTACATGAACAAATTTTAACCAGTCTTTTATTACTATACATATGTCGCAGAAAGACGGAAGGGACCCTTCACACTCGGGTTTGAAATGGTCTACCAAGGCGGAAGTTGAAGACTTGGCCTGGGATCCTCACAGCGAACACTCCTTTGTGGTGCATTACGCTTTCTTTGCTCTTCTAACACAGGCATGTGAATATTTCAGATATTTATCTTTTTCTTCTTCCATCTTAGGCGAGTCTCGAAGATGGAACTGTGAAGGGATTTGATATACGTGCTTCTGATTTATCACCAAATTTCATTCTCCATGCTCATTATGGTGAAGTCTCCTCCATATCATACAACATACAGGCCCCCAATGTACATACATATCTCTCTTTCTCTCTTGTCTCCTACCATATTCATAGTGTAGCTAGTCGTTTTAACATTTACGTCATTCTTCGAGCTGTGCAGCTTTTGGCTACGGGATCTAGGGATGAAAGTGTGAAACTTTGGGATCTTTCAAACAATCAACCATCATGGATTGCTACAAACATGCCAAATGCTGTAAGAGCGATGAATAAGTATTTCTGTTGGCACACGTTTCTTTCTGGTTTCTTTGTTCACCATTCCAAACTTTTGATATATCAAACAGGGAGAAGTTTTCTCGGTCTCATTCTCTGCGGACTGCCCCTTCTTACTCGCTGTTTGTGGCTCAGAGGGACTAAATGTGAGTAGTGATTTTGATGGTACAAGAACTTACAAGTTCTGTTTTTGAGGAAACTAACGTATATATGTGCATGCTTGTGCAGGTGTGGGATACTTTATCAGACACTGGTGTGTCCCGAAGATATGGGAGCAGCCGACCATGAACCATATATATGCCATTACAAAGTTGAGGAAGTGTGGATGAAGGAGTTCGATGAGGAAGAGTACTGAGAGAATCATGAATAAAAAAACTTTAGAATAATAATTAAGTAAATGTTTCTAGAAGTCTTGTTTCGGTTTTAGGTTCCTTTGATCCTATTAAGACTAGGTCTAATTTGGATGATTGATACAAGTTGAAACGTTACATCTTCCTTCCCTCACCATTTGGTTTATCCAAGCAAATACAATTGCTTGCTTTGAAAATGTCAATTTATGTATATTTCCCACTACTGCAAAAGTAATGCAACTAATCAATCAAATATCATTAGATAAATCTATGCATATAATACATACTTTTGTAGAAATGACAATATATTTCGATTTTTTTTTTTCTTAGACAGCATATTGCGATATCCTTTACGCTTTCACATTGTAAACAAAGAGAATATTGCAAGACAATCAAAATCTATCATTGTATTTTATGTAAACCGGTCAAAATGTCGTCGTGTTTGGCGTTTGGACACCATATAGTTGGATTAAACCCACTATAATCTATGGCATGTGGTTTGGAAAAAAAAAACAAAATAATGATTTGACTTGTTACACTTGTACTTATACAAGTCGGATTAATTTTAGTCGCAGTGAATTGATTGATAAGTCATACCCAAATTTTGGAATCAGATCTCTTTGGTCGTCTACATATATAGTTTCTTAATACTAAATCAACATTTCATCAATTATCTTTAATTTTACCCATATACAATATTAAATGTCCGAAGAATAACCAATGTATTAATATGACTCTAAAATTATCGTGTGAATTGAAGAAAATCATCTTTATTACTTACTTACTACTGTTACGTTAAAAAAAAAAAAAAAAGTCATACCAGAAAGCTAGAAAATTTATAAGTGCAATTATGTTTCTACTTTCTAGATTACTACGGTTACGTTTCCATCAAAGTAAATTGATTAAGACACATTACTAGTTACTACTATACAATTTTTTACTTTTAATAACGTGACCATTATTATACATTAATATCGTATTAATATTTTAAAACATTTGATTGGATCATAGTTGCCATATGGGACGTGGGAGATGAGTGGGAAAATAAGATAACACGCGCCTCTCTAACAAGTGATCTCCACGCGCTCTTCCTCTTCAGCAGGAAAGCTTTTACCAATTCAGCAAATCAAGAAGCTATATAAATGCCGCACTTAACAAATTGAAACGTACGATCAAATTCAACCTCTCTCTTCCGACCAATGGACTAAATCAAACTTTCGATTTTCCGGCGATGTCGACGTCACAAACTCTCGGCGGCGCCACACGTTGTGGCCGGATCATAGGTCCATCATTAGACAAGATCATAAAAAACGCTGCGTGGCGTAAACACACGTACCTCGTCTCTTCATGTAAATCCGTTCTCGACAAGCTCGAATCTCTTCCCGACGACTTTCACGATCCTTCCTCCGTCGTCTCCGGCCTCGCCGCATCAGATGCAGATTCCGTTCTCCAACCTTTTCTCTTCTCTCTCGACACTGCTTATTCAAAAGTCGTCGAGCCATCTCTAGATTGCGCTTTTAAACTCTTCTCTCTCTCAATCCTCCGTGGTGAGATCCAATCCTCAAAACAAGATTCTATCCTCTTCAAGCTCGTCAACGCCGTCTCCAAAGTCGGAGCTATAGCCGAAGAACCGATTCAACTCGCTGTTCTTCGAGTTCTTCTCGCCGCCGTTAGATCTCCATGTATTTTGATCCGTGGTGATTGCTTGTTGCACGTTGTCAAGACTTGTTACAACATTTACCTCGGTGGCTTGAGCGGCACGACACAGATCTGTGCTAAATCGGTGTTAGCTCAGATGATGCTCGTGATCTTCACAAGATCTGAAGAAGATTCGCTTGATGTTTCCGTGAAAACGATTTACGTCAACGAGCTATTAACTTTCACGGACAAGAGTGTTAATGAAGGAAGCTCTGTTTATTTCTGTCAAGGGTTTGTGAATGAAGTCATGGCTGCAGGACAAGGAAGTCCTCTTCCTCCTCCTGATGTGATTCAGATTCTTCTTCAAAATCCGGAGACTGAAACCGTTATGAATCCGGATTCACCGTCTTTTCGAGGCTACGTAGCAAACGGAGAAGGTGATTCCGAGACCGGTGACATGAGTAAGATGAGACAGGACGCTTTTCTTCTGTTCAAGAACTTGTGTAAATTGTCTATGAGGTTTTCGTCGAAAGAGAACAATGATGATCAGATCATGGTGAGAGGTAAGACTTTGTCTTTGGAGTTGCTTAAAGTCATTATTGACAATGGTGGTTCTGTTTGGCGCTCTAATGAAAGCTTCATCAACGCCGTTAAGCAATACTTATGCTTATCACTACTGAAGAACAGTGCGGTATCAATCATGTCAATATTTCAATTGCAATGTGCCATCTTCATGAGCTTGTTATCAAAGCTTAGATCAGTCTTGAAAGCGGAAATCGGCATTTTCTTCCCGATGATTGTTCTTCGCGTGCTTGAGAATGTTCTTCAACCTAGTTACTTGCAGAAGATGACTGTTCTCAACTTGCTAGATAAAATGTCACAAGATCCGCAGTTGATAGTCGATATCTTTGTGAACTACGACTGCGATGTGGAGTCTTCAAACATACTTGAAAGGTATTATTAGATTAGTCTAAGAAACTGTCACAAAGTTGTTGCATGACTCGTTAAAGAGTAAATGTAATGTATTAAAGCTCTTATAATTCCATCAGATACTTGCAGGATTGTCAACGGTCTTCTCAAAACTGCTCTAGGACCACCCACCGGATCATCGACAACGCTCTCTCCAGCGCAAGATATTACATTCAGGAATGATTCTGTAAAGTGTTTGGTTAACATAGCCAAGGCAATGGGAAATTGGATGGACCAGCAGTTGAAAGTGAATGAGACCGTTTGGCCTAAAGGCTCACAAGTTTATGCTTCTATGGACAGTAATGCAGGCCAGATTGATGAATTAGAAGGAACTATATCTGACTGTGATTCACAGCCAGATACTACTAATCCAGAAGCTTATGATGCCTCTATGCTTGAGCAACGAAGGGCTTACAAAATTGAATTGCAGGTCCAGGATTTACAGACAAGTCCTTAAATCATTGATGATATATCAGTTTTTTTTTTTATGTTCACTAACATATAGTTCTTGGTGATATGCAGAAAGGTATCTCTCTGTTCAATAGGAAGCCGTCGAAAGGTATCGAATTTCTCATAAGTACCAAGAAAATAGGTAGTTCTCCAGAGGAAGTGGCTTCGTTTCTGATGAAGACTGCAGGGCTAAATGGAACTGTGATTGGTGATTATCTTGGTGAAAGAGAGGAACTTCCACTCAAAGTTATGCATGCATATGTCGACTCGTTTAACTTCGAAAAGAAGGATTTTGTCGAAGCGATAAGGTTCTTTCTGCGCGGCTTTAGGTTACCAGGAGAAGCACAGAAAATTGATCGAATCATGGAAAAGTTTGCAGAACATTACTGGAAATGCAACCCTGGTTCTTTTACTAGTGCAGACACTGCTTATGTTCTTGCATATTCTGTGATAATGCTCAACACAGATGCACACAACAACATGGTTAAGGATAAGGTATGCTTGCTTTCTTCTAATATTTATCAAGTAGATAGTTGTTGCCTTGGAATACACGTCTGATGCCATATGAAGTTTAACAAATCTGAAGTGCATATTCCTCTGTTTTTGAGATTGTACATACATAGAAATTGTTTAAACCGTTCTGATGCCTTGTACAAATTCAATGGTTGTTTAGATGACGAAAGCTGACTTCGTCCGCAACAACAGGGGGATAGATGATGGAAATGACTTGCCTGAAGAATATTTAGGTTCTCTATATGATCGAGTTGTGAAAGAAGAAATCAAGATGAACTCCGATACTTTAGCCCCGCAAAACAAACAGGTGAATGGCTTGAATAAACTATTGGGCCTAGACGGCATTCTCAATCTGGTTTCTTGGATGCAACCAGATGAGAAACCACATGGTGCCAATGGACGTCTTATAAGGGATATTCAGGAACAGTTCCAAGCTAAGCCAGAGAAATCAGAGTAAGCTCTATCGCTATACCAGCTTTTATGTGTCATATTATTCTCTGTTTCTTACTTTGTAAGAAAGATTCTGAAATCTGTTTGTGATGTTATTGGTCTGCAGGTCAGTTTATCATACTGTTACAGATATTTCGATCTTGAGATCCATACTCGAGGTCTCCTGGGGACCGATGCTTGCTGCATTTAGTGTCACTCTTGACCAGAGTGATGATCGACTAGCAACTTCTCTTTGCTTACAAGGCTTCCGATATGCGGTGCACGTCACTGCAGTTATGGGAATGCAAACTCAGAGAGATGCTTTTGTAACTTCCATGGCCAAGTTCACTAATCTTCATTGTGCTGCAGATATGAAGCAGAAAAATGTTGATGCTGTTAAAGTAAAGTCCCATGTTCCATATCTCAGCCTATCTAAATATATGTTTTATGTCACCAACTGATTCTATTAACAACTTGTAACATTATATGCAGGCGATAATAACGATAGCCATAGAAGACGGTAACCATCTACATGGTTCTTGGGAACATATTTTAACTTGTCTTTCACGTATTGAACATTTGCAACTCCTTGGAGAAGTATCACCATCAGAGAAACGTAACGTCCCTACCAAAAAAACTGAGGTAGATGAAAAGAAAGCTTTGGGGTTTCCAAATTTAAAGAAACGGGGATCTTTTCAGAATCCATCTGTTATGGCTGTTGTTAGGGGAGGTTCTTATGATAGTACTTCACTTGTTAAAAGCGTTCCCAAACTAGTTACTCCGGAGCAGATCAAGAGTTTCATTTCCAATTTGAATCTACTTGATCAAATAGGCAATTTTGAGTTGAACCATGTCTATGCTAATAGCCAAAGGTTGAACAGTGAAGCTATAGTTGCCTTTGTTAAAGCGCTATGTAAAGTCTCCATGTCAGAACTTCAGTCACCAACAGATCCTCGTGTCTTTAGCCTCACGAAACTAGTCGAAACAGCGTAACTTCTCATTCTAAGATCTTATACTAATTACATTGCTCTGCTTTGAAACTCTCTGATCAAATGATAACGGTTTTCCCTTTCTGTGACAGGCATTATAACATGAACCGTATCCGATTAGTTTGGTCCCGCATATGGAATGTTCTTTCTGATTTCTTCGTATCAGTCGGCTTGTCAGAGAATCTCTCTGTTGCAATATTTGTCATGGATTCTCTTCGTCAGCTTTCCATGAAATTCTTGGAGCGTGAGGAGCTTGCAAACTATCATTTCCAACATGAGTTTCTTCGACCATTCGTTATTGTTATGCAGAAAAGCAGTTCCGCTGAGATTAGAGAGCTAATAGTCCGATGTGTCTCCCAAATGGTTCTTAGTCGAGTTAGTAATGTGAAATCTGGTTGGAAAAATGTCTTCACGGTAAGTAGTAACACACATTTATTTCTCAAATCCAATATACATGTTTGAA